ACTCACATTAGAACATAGAACACATATCAGATGTTGAAAGTGAGACATTTTACCCTTTCATGAAAAACATGATTTCATTTAGAAATTGATGGCAGCAACGCGTCTCAAAAAAGTTGGGACAGGGCCGCGTCTACTGTTGTTAAGAAACAAGGGCTCCATAGTGTCCTGCCCATTTCCTGCTGTGCTGCGGGGCTTGTTTGGTGGTGCAACCCAGCAGGTGCTGCTCAGTATTTCAGACACTGCTGTTATGCCGGCCTCACACCAAACGACTTTTCAGCCGATTTCACTGTCGCAGACAAATGTCTAATGTCGGAATAAAACCATGAAAGTCTTGCTGGAGTCGTATCGCGCTCGCATCATCTCGATCGTTTAGTGCGAGGTGGTCAGGATGGCCGTCTTAGGTCAGTCTTTTTCTCGTCTTGGCGCTGCAACAAAATCAATCCTGTTTAATATTATCGTAAGTTTTAAGTCTTGGCTCATGCGAATAGTGACGTGCCAGTGGCACACGTGAGAGCGAGCGAGAGAGAGAGAGAGAGAGAGAGAGAGGAGAGAGAGAGCAGGGAGAGAGAGGGAGAGGGAGAGGATAGAGAGAGGGAGAGGAGAGAGAGAGAGCAGAGAGAGAGAGGTCGAGGTCGAGACAGAGATGCACTTTCTTCTTCACTGTGAAAAATATAAAGAAACAAGAGAAATTTACCCAAACAAATGAAAAAAATTCATCCCAAATTTTTTAAAATTTACAGAATTAGAGAAATTACGAATATTCCTTGGAGAGGGGCTCACAGCCCCCCTCGCTGCCAGATACATAACAACATGCCACCGCCTGAGAGACAGCGGGTAACAGCCCCCCCATACCCCCACCCTCCTGACCTCCATCCCACATACCCCGACTCCACTTACCCACACCCTCCATACCACCATTCCACCTACCCCCACCCTCCATACCCCACTCCACTTACCCACACCCTCCATACCCCCACTCCACCCTCCCCCACTCCACTGACCCCCAACATTGCAAATGTCATTAGTTTACTAATTTGTATGGTTATAATTATAAACAGTGATAATAATAATACTGTAATATTATGTTTATAATAATTAATATGGTTATTATTTATGTTGGTTCTTTTATCTTATTCTGTCACAATCATGCTAATAAAGCTATTCTGAACTTCTGAACTGAGAGGAGAGAGAGAGCTGAGAGAGAGGGAGAGGAGAGAGAGAGCAGAGAGAGAGAGAGGATAGAGAGAGAGAGGACGAGGATAGAGAGAGAGAGAGGAGAGAGAGAGCAGAGAGAGAGGATAGAGAGAGAGAGGACGAGGATAGAGAGAGAGGGGGAGAGGATAGAGAGAGGGAGAGGAGAGAGAGAGCAGAGAGAAAGGATAGAGAGAGAGAGGACGAGGATAGAGAGAGAGGGGGAGAGGATAGAGAGAGGGAGAGGAGAGAGAAAGGGAGAGGATAGAGAGAGAGGGAGAGGAGAGAGAAAAAGAGAGGGAGAGGATAGAGAGAGAGGGGGAGAGGAGAGAGAGAGAGGGAGAGGAGAGAGAGAGAGGAGAGAGAGAGGTAGAGGAGAGAGAGAGAGGATAGAGAAAGAGAGGGAGAGGAGAGAGAGAGAGAGAGGAGAGAGAGGGGGAGAGGAGAGAGAGAGGAGAGAGAGAGGGAGAGAGAGAGAGGATAGAGAAAGAGAGGGAGAGGAGAGAGAGAGAGAGGAGAGAGAGGGGGAAAGGAGAGAGAGAGAGGGAGAGGAGACTTTTGACTTTTGAGGGTCCTTTATTGAACCAGCACTTTCTTGAAAACAGTCATCCGTCACAAAGTGTCATCTTAGGCTATATTGAAATAAATTAATTGATTAAGTAAAAAAAAGAAAAACACTGTATAAATAGATAAAAACAAGAAAACAAATAAAACCCAGTCCGGCTCATCTGAGCTCAGGAGCGAAGCAGAGCTCACCCTCGCACACTGAGCACACGGCCCCACCACAGCACCACATCGCCTCAAAGGCCTCCACATCACATACGCTCTTATAATAATTAAAATCAATTAAAATCCTTGATCTCACCAGCCTAGAGAGAATCCTTGTGGCCTCGCAGTCAGTACCATGCGCCACCTTGTTCTTACGACTGATATATATGGCCATATATATATAGAGCAGAGAGAGAGAGAGAGAGAGAGAGAGAGGGAGAGGAGAGAGAGGGAGAGGATAGAGAGAGAGGGAGAGGAGAGAGAGAGAGGGAGAGAGAGAGAGGGAGAGGATAGAGAGAGAGAGAGAGAGAGAGAGGGAGAGGGAGAGGAGAGAGAGGGAGAGGATAGATAGAGAGAGAGAGAGAGGGAGAGGAGAGAGAGAGAGAGGATAGAGAGAGAGAGAGAGAGAGAGAGAGAGGGAGAGGAGAGAGAGGGAGAGGATAGATAGAGAGAGAGAGAGAGAGAGGGAGAGGAGAGAGAGAGAGGATAGAGAGAGAGAGAGAGAGAGAGAGAGGGAGAGGAGAGAGAGGGAGAGGATAGAGAGAGAGGGAGAGGAGAGAGAGAGAGAGAGGGAGAGGAGAGAGAGGGAGAGGATAGAGAGAGAGGGAGAGGAGAGAGAGAGGGAGAGGATAGAGAGAGAGGGAGAGGATAGAGAGAGAGGGAGAGGAGAGAGAGAGAGGCCAGAATATATTACTGCAATGATGTCTGTAAATAAAGGTATTTATCAGACTCGCTCCAGTGGCTGGATCACATGCCAGGTACTGAGGGTTTTCACTGAACTGGGAAAATCTGCTTTTAGTTACAGCACCAGTGAGCTGGACGCTCACTACTGGACACACTAAAGCTCAGCTCACTGGGTCACTTGGTCATTTTAAAGTTCTACTCTCTAACCACCTCCACTCTGCCTGACACTGTTTTACCTGATTTTTTACCATTTTTATCTTATTTTCATTATTATTTGTTATTTTATCCATTATTATTCATATTCTTATTTTAAATATTGTCATTTTAATAAATGTTTATTAGTATTTTTTTTCTTATCTTCGTTTTATTTTGATTTGATTTTAGCCTTTACATTTTGTGTATGTTTTAATTAGTTTTACTATATTTTTATGTATTTTTATTATTGTTTCATAAATGTTTTTATACATACCTGATCCGAGTCTTCATTTATTAAATTGACTTTTATTATTTGATATGTTCTTACACATCATCAATCCCTTGCTCTGTATTAACTCTGCACCAGATAAAGTCTGATTGATTGATTACCAACTTAGATACCAGATTAATTGAACACTGAATGCATTAAAATGTGCATTAAAGTGATGCTGCAGTTCTGGTAACATATATTAAATTATATAACGTATTGGATTAATTCATTTATTTATCACTGGAATTTAAACAATTTAGTCCACAAAACCAAAAACATCCATTAATCACTGATAAATTGTTATATGAACAAAAATAGATGTTAAGTCTTGATACAGGCCTTCTACCTACAGAGCTGGTCTCCCACACATGGATTAAGCCTAATCTTGGACTAAATTTCAGCACCAATAGAAAATTGCCACTAGGAATTCCTTTTAGTCTGGGCTCAAAGGGGAAATCTGTCAATTTTTCAAAATTAAGTAAACAAAGTCATTCAGAGTGTTTTGGTGTGAAACGCTGTTCTAGAGGAACTTGCCGAGTCAGAATTGCTCTGAATGGTGGTGATAGGAACCAGACGTCCACCTCCAAAAGCTCCCTACTATATAAACTGGTTACAAATCCGTGGTGATGGCTGAGGCAGCTGCATGACAGTCAAGAGAGAGATTAAAGATTTTTACCAAGAACAAATACTTTAAAGTTGTTCTTGGTGGACAGGTACACGCAGGGCACTGTCACACAGTCAGTATTTTAAATACATCCATGGTGGAGAGACACATTGGGTATTGTGAAACACCCGTCCTCAAAAACCTTTTTCAGATTTATCACTATTATCCACCACCAACTCTGAAGACTCGTGTAGGTTCACCGGTGGTTTTGGACAGTAAATAAAATGTCTATATCTGTGTTGTAGTCATGGCGACCCCTGGTTCCTATCACCACCACTGTAAAGAAATCTACAATCAACCATTTCACACCAAACCACTCCGAATCACTCGGTTTACATCTCAAACACTGATACCGAAATTTCAGTATAAATGAGGTCGGCTAAAAAAATATGTCGTCTGGTTCTACTGACTTACAATAAAAGTAGGTTTTTTCATTCTCCTGTATAGATACCATTTTGGACATATGAGGTTTTGTTCCAACAGCAGCATAAAGTCACAATGTAAGTGTGTTTGTGTATGTATGTGTGTGTATATATATGTGTGTTAATGATAATAGTCTCAATTTATCTAAAATCTCATTAAATTTAACAAATTGAGTCTATTTTGTAAGTTCACTATTGAGTTATATATAAATAAAAAGAGTGAATACAAGTTCACACATCTACAGATAAACTTTTCTGCCAATTTACATACAACTTGCTACGCTAAGCTCTAGCAAACTGGAAACAATTAAAAACAATGTGCTGTAACGAACACAGGGCACATCTAATGTTTTATTTTTGTTTCCAGTATGTTAAATTCAGCAAATAAACAGTAACCATGCATTTAAATGTGCAGAAAAGCGTCTCTGTAGACCCAACAAAAATATGGAATTTGACTGGGGTGCCCCTGACTTTTGCACACATCTGTGGACTTTTAAATAAATGTGCAACCAATGGTTTAACACAGTTATTACCCATACTGTAAAGCAGTGGGGTCACCAACCCTGGAGGTCTGCCTTCCTGTGGAGTGACCACAACCTGCACCAGCTAATTAACTTCAGAAGTCCATGACTGGCTGGATTAGATGCCTTAGTGTTTGGGGGGGGCAGTATTTTAGATACATGTGGGAGGCAAACTCGACAGGAGAGCAGATCTCCAGGAGGAGCGTTGGTGACCCCCCCTGTTACACAAACTCAACTACACATCACTCAACAGCTAAACTACCAATAAGTCACAGCAGGCAGTGTGTGGACCGTAAAAAGGTACTTTATTATGATGAATGTACAGTCGTGCAGCACACGCTTTAGCGGTAACGGTGCAGCTGCAGAGTGTTGCGTCTCCTCCAGGCTGCGCGGCGAGATCCACCGATCGTGAGGTGGAACTTGTGGCCCTTGCCCAGGCCGCGGCTCTTCCTGCCGGCGGACGTGAGGCCGCGCATCTCCCTGTGCTTGTGCACGGCCTTTGTGATCCATTGGGTATCGGGGTTGCGTCTGATGGCCTTGTGGAAGGTGTCCATAAGGATCACCTCAAAGAACTTGTACGTGGAGTCTTCTCCTACCCAGTAAGAGTTCAGCACGCGGAGACCTCCGCAGTGACGGCCAGCGCGCTCCTGAGAGGGGAGAGGAGATGAAGCGGCGTTAAAAACTGCGTTAGAAACTACATTTCGCTGCTGTCGGAAGAAAACCTCGCATCTCCATTTTTAGTCGTTATTCAGACAATTTGAAAATGCCTGTTGCTCTTTACATTGAGTGTACATTTCATGATGAATGGACCAAAAGAAACGGCCCAAAATCACTTGGAAAAAATGTCTGACTCCATTGACTTATATTAAAAGAAAAGTATGTTCTTTCCTTCTCCTGTAAAGTTCTTATTTTGTATATACGGGATTTTCCTCTGACAACAGCGACATACTATTTTAATTTTGACCCGATTTTTCTCCCCAATTTAGTCGTCTCCAATTCCACCCGCTAGTTAGGACTCCCCCAATCACACGATGCTATCAACGCTAGGAGGGTGAGGGCTAACACAGGCTTCCTCCGAGACCTGTGAAGCCAACCACCGCTTCTTTTCGAGCTGCCGCTCACGCAACGTCACTGGACAGCCGAACGCGCTCGGAGGAAAGCGCCAACCGCCAGATCTGTTACGTCAGCTAACAGACGCCTGCGCTACGGATGGCTGTAGCATCACCAGGGATCGAACTCGCGATCTCCTGATGATAGGGCCAACGCTTAGACGGTTGTGCCACTCGGGAGCCGCGACATACTACTTTTTATTAGATGTCAGTGTCGGTTCATTAGGCATCACCTACAACAAACAAAAAAAGCTGATCTGAATTGTGCCTCTTTAGTTTAGCTCTGGAGCAAAAAGGCTGAAGTTGCTAACACAGTCAATAGTCACCCAAATCACTTCCCTCAATACATCCACCAAATGTGTCAGCCTGCTCAAACTGCACCACAGTAGGGCTGAACAACATGGGGAAAACATCTAACTGATTGTCTTCTATAAATGCAGCTCTACACCTCTTAAAAGGGCCAAAACAACCAGAATATCCACTTTTGCTGGCTTGAGGCCTGAATGTTGCAGGTCACTGCCAGTTCCTTGAGGTTGTGTTGGGTGTTTGGTTGCTTTTGTCTGGTCTGACTCACACAGGCAATTTATAAGCTAAACTTCCCCACTTAAAACAGTCAACTTCTTAAATAAGGGCTATAAATAAAATGACTCAAACTGCGATAACAATATAAACATGATCAATCTTTCAGCCCAATATCGACGTCTTCATCAAGGTCAGGCAGATTTTATGTAGTTTAGTACACTGCATGACTTATTGTGAGCTATAAAACACGAACAAAACTTCTCTGTGTAGCTGAATGATGCAGGTAGACACTTTAGACAACAGGTGTTGTGCCAAATTCTAACCACCCTGCAGAATCAGACTCCATGTGTATGCACGTTAAGGTCCAATCCCATTTCATCCCTCACCCCTACCACTTAGCCCCCTGTTGTTCACGTCTAGGGGTAGGGTGTCCCAATTTTTGTTGAGATAGAGGGGTAGGGTGAAGTGTTGGGGCTACATGGCCCTTCAAACGCAGGTGTTTCAGAGACTCCAAACAGAGAGATATAAGAAAATAAGAAAAACCGGCAAGATGGAGAACAAGAGACCAAAGAAATCCACAAATGTGAGAATTTTCTCTGTTAAAAAATTACGATAACCATTGTATTCTCTTAGTTTAATGTTGTTTCAGTGTATTTTGGTCGTTTTCTTCATAACAAACAAAAAAATTGCTAACAGTATGCTAATGTGTCGGTAGCTAGCTAACTTTCCCGTTCCACCTTAAATAGCCCAGCAGTTTTAACACCTGAAGCACCAGAATGCAACTGCTGCTCCATTTAAGGCGGACCGGGAAAATTCGAACAAGAATCTGGTGAATATCTGACTTCAGCTTCATATCACTGAAGAATTAGGGGTGGGTGATAATAAATAATTGCCCCCCTCTTTGAAGGCATATGATGCCCTGAATGTAACTAAAGCCCAGCAGTGAGGAGCTGAACTTTACCCTCCTCTGCTGTCACTGCAGACTGGCAGGGTCGCCTACAGAGCAGCGCTGGTAGCTGTTAATGAAGTGATGCTCTTTTTATTTGAGGGTCTCATTTCGTAGGGACTCAGTTCCAAGGGGTTAGGGTGACACTCAAACAAGGGGTAGGGGTAAAAAGAAGAAATGGGACTGGGCCTAAATACTCACTGTTACATGAAACGAGTTGAGAACGTAACCTACAGATTATATATGCCTGCGTAATGTGCATAAAGGGGAGTAATTCAGTTCAACACCTGTGTTTGTGCCTGCGGCATCCAGACACACTGAGCCGTGTAGCTCCTCCACTAAACTAAAGAAACCAAATTTGAACATCAAACGTGGTTGGTTGATCGACTACATCTCAGGCAAGCGGAAAATTGGGTAATTTTGATTTTTCACTGAACAATTCCTTTAAATCTGAACACAAACCAGCCCATAATGGCAAAATATTAAGCTTTTAATGATATTAACAACAAAATCATTAAACCAAAAGATAAAGCAAGTTTGTATGGAACATTTTTTCCCCTTTGATTTCTTTAAATGTTGACGTGGGAAAAACTGGCCGTCTTTCACCGAACAAAGAGTCAGTATTTTTCCACTCAGCACTGACTGCTTTAAACAGCTTAAAAATATCGCCAAACTAGTTTGTGTTTAATGAATTTAATGTCTATAAAATTTAAATCTGATCAAAACAAAATAAATTATTTTGGCCCATTTTTTGCACGGGAGTGTACAGTGGCTTAATTGTGAGTCTGCAGGTTTGAGCTTCCTAAATCAACCTATAACCGCCTTTGACACTAACGACTCGCCCCCCACGCCACAATAAAAGTCCACCTTTCTATCAAATGAGACCTTTGCTGTATCACAAAGCAATAAACGACTTCCATCAGACAGACAAACACTAAATCTTCATGTTTCTCAGATCAGTTTATAAGACAGAAAACATTTAAAATGCTGTAAACTAGACTACAGTGCAGGCTTACATACCTCAGCCACAGACTGAAGGCTGCGAGCGAATTTGATCTGGTTGACGCCGTGGTGCACGGGTTTGCCGTAGGTGGCACCTTTGGGCACGGGGCGCTTGCGGCCACCACGGCGCACACGCACACGGTAGATGACGTAACCTGTGTAGGGAAAAGGAGAGATATTGATCCAAACAGCACTGATTATGCACAAACCCTGCTGGAATGTCGAGTTCGTTATCCATTACTACCCGGAAAGTTACAAACCACAATATAAAGCGGTGCCAAAAGAACGTCACTGCTGTCGGTACAAAACCTTGTATCTCCATTTTTGAAGTCTGACAAATTTGGATATACCTGTTGCCCTTTACATTGTGTGTAAAGTCCGTGACGAATGGACTAAAATAAACAGCCCAAAAGTACTTGGAAAAACTCTGGTTCCATTGACTTACATTAAAAGTAAAGCAGGTTTTTTTCCCTTCTCCTGTAAAGTGACCATTTTGGACATACAAGGTTTTCTTCCGACAACAACGACATATTAAGGATTGTATTATGTGTCTCATCTCTCTCGCTATATCTATATATATATATATATATCTATATATATATATATATATATATATATCTATATATATATATATATATATATATATATATACACATACATACACACACACACACACACACAAATATACATATATCATTCATATAGTTATATATTTAATAGATACATTATATTTATGCCTATTAGTGCACATTTGCACTGTGTTTTGCACTATTGCTACTATCTGCATTTCTCATAGATGTCAACTGCATTTCGTTGCCTTGTACTGAGCACATATATACATCTGTCTATCTATCGTGAGTACACTCCATATCTGCACATCACATCAGAGTAAAACGACCAATCAGAGAACCAGGTTACTGGTACTGAGCAGCTGTCAAATGACAGATCAACCAGCCAAACAACTTCCGAAATGTCATCACTGTCCATTCTTACGTTTACATCATTTGAAACTGCCAGCTGTCCTTTTTACTTCTCTAATAAATTCACACATTTAGAAGACAAACGTTCCGTCTTGCATGTTGACTATAAGGACTTGTGGTTGGTTTTGGTTATGAAAACAGGCAGCAGGCCTAAAGCAAGGTAGCCTTGTCATGGGCAGGTCCAGAAGTTCACACAACAGACTTATTTGGAAGTAAACCCAGTCTAGTCACATTTTCACAGCAGCAGTCACCAACCCTGCTCCTGGAGATCCACCTTAGTGCAGAATTCAGCTTCAGATCCAACCGATTAAGTGGTCTGAGGATCTGGATCAGATGTGTTCAATCAGGTTGGAAGTGAAGGCAGAAAGAGCTCCTAGAGCACAGCTGGTGACCACTGGCCTACAGCCTGTTACAGGCTTTATCTCCATCTCCAGAGGATTGCAGCCATTCAGACAAGGCACATATAGATGATGCACGAAGCAGAGCTGGACAATACGACAAAATATCGTTATGATAAATTACATCACGATAGAACGCACTCTGAACATCGTCAGTACTCGCAGAACATTGACCAACTGTATGATTTATTATAAACAATAAAATTAGTCCTGTTGCTATTAACTGGTTGGATTTAGTGTATGCGAAATATTTAAATTATTATATTCCAAGTTTTTGACAATATTTCACTGCTGTTGGAACAAAACCTCGCATCTCCATTTTTTTTATTTTTTCAGTTTGACATAATTTGAAAATACCTGTTGTCCTTTACATTGTGTGTACATTTCATGACGAATGGAGTAAAATAAAGAGCCCAAAATTACTTGGAAACATGTCTGGTTCCACCAACTTACATCAAAAGTAAGTTACCATTTTGGAGATATGAGATTTTGTTCTGGCAGCAGCAATTTTTTAAAATGTACCACTAATTTTTCTCAGTTCCAACTGATCACATCCCATGAAAGTTTCCTGAAGTATCGTGATATCATGATATATTTTTGCCGTATTGCCCTCCTCCAGCAAAAAGTATTACTGCACAGCAAGTAAAGCAACAACAGACCAAAGTAAGAAGTGATAAATATAAAGAAGGACCCACTTATAAATGAAGGAGGTGTAATAAAGCTCTCTCTCACCCTGCTTGGCCTTGTAGCCCAGTCTGCGGGCTTTGTCAGGTCTGGTGGGTCTGGGAGCCCGGTGAAGGGAGGAAAGCTGACGGTACTGCCAGCAGCGGACACGAAGCAAGAACCTCATCACGTCCGACTGCTTCTTCCTCCATAGCTCCTGCATATACTTGTACGCGCCCATGATGCCTCAACTAGAAAACAAACAGTTCATCAGCCTCATTAGATGCACACATTCAATGCAGTGATGCAGCTCACAAAAGTAAAATTACACCCCCCTTGTCACGTTTGGTGTCTTAAGAGTGCCTTAAGTTCTGCACTAACCAGCAACAAGTGGCCCGAAGGCTTTTTGGATAACAGATTTCTATTAAGCTCCACTGCTGAATTAAAACAGCACTTTATGCACTAAATGCAATATTTTGCTCCAACAGTTCTGCAAATTAGATCTTTCTGCTGAACCTTTCACTTCACGCTGAGTATCTACACACCTAAAAAGGATGGTTCTTCAATGACTGTTTATTGTTTCTACTTAGAACCACACTTGAATAGTTCTTTAGACCAACCAACGTCAAGAACCTTTTAAAAATGGATCTGTATAGGACCAAACAGGGTCATTCTACTGTCATAGAACCCCTTTTGATGCCATATAGAACCATATACAACACTCTCCACCAATCCAAAGAACCATTCCACCACGCAAGGAACCATTTAGCATGCAAATGATCCTATACAGAACTCAAGGTTGAAACAGATCCATTGCTTTTACTAAAGAACCCCTGAAGAACCACATCAAGAGTGTGGTCCATAGCTAGAGAACGCTCCCTGCTGTAGCTACTATCTAGAAACATGCTTTGAATGACAACGTTAGACACTGATTCTCATTTAAAAAGCCGGCCCTGCAAGAGGAACCGGGTTCTTGTGTCTAAAACATGTTCTAGATATCTGGAACGTTAAGTTACACAGATACAGACAGCACATTCGCCATGTGAGGATCAGCCGACATGGCTAACCGGCCAGCAAAGCTATTCCCCAACATTAACTGAAGATAAAAGAACTTTTGCTGTATATATATTAACGTAACCGTATGTATGACGCGGTAAATGTATATATTATTCCTATGAATATTTACATTAACACTCAAATACATTCAGATTAGCAGAGCAGCGGCGGCGCTAACGACCACAGCCGTTAACTAACGTCTAATAAACATAATAAACGTTCGAGTAGCACGAAAATAGCGACTAGACGAGCATCCTTAAACGTTCCGCTGCGGATATAAGAAGAACAGAGTTCGGATGACATTATTTTCAATGTGATTTTTAACAGATTCAACGATCAGCAAAATGGAAAAGGCTCGCTTACTTGATGGCGTACTAAGCGGAAAGGAAGAGAAAAGGGCCCAGAGTCCTTTATGAAACGTCACCGCGCTGTTTCCGGCGAGAGGCGCGGGTTTCATGGGAAATGTAGTTTTGGACCCCCGGAAGGATTCATCAGAGGACCGCGAACCGTTAAGCTTTAAATGTCGATCTGTTTTTTTTAATGGCCTTATTAATGCTAATAAACATTTACAAAGGTACGCATTTCCTCGGGATAACACGTTACTACAAAATAAATCATTATTTTGATACCGTACGTCAGAGGTAAAATCAAACATGTAAACAAAATAAAAGATATGTTGGTTGGTTTTTACCTTATTCGTACAGGAAGGGAAAAAAGGGGTTTCTGGTCAACTTTCTTATATTTTTTGCAACGTTTTACATTCACAAAAATAAATTTAACAACAACAAACGACCTCTTTACTTTACTTTTTGAACAAGAAATTGAACAAAGTCTACACAGGTTAGTATTCCTGCTTCACCCAGCACGAAAGCACTTAAAGACTTTTAAATAAAAGTCTTTTTTATTTGAAATTATTTCAATCCTTAGCACTTTCTGTTTCCCTTTTTTGGTTTATTTATTTATTTCAACATGCAACTGTATACATGTACAATACGCTGTGTTGATATGCACTGGTTTGAAAATAAAACTGAAATAATAAGAAATAGTAAATAATAATTTCAATGGCAACAAAACAGAAAATACAAGCTTAAATATAAGGTTAAAGCTACCTACATAAGAGGTGTAGTATGTCTGGTCTGAAGCACTTGATTAAATACAACTTGTTTTGTACGATATTGCCAAACGTTCAATAGCTGTTGAAATTATTTGGCCCTGATTTTGACTTATGTGGTGTAGTTCATTAACTGTATAGGAATTATTCAGAATTCTTTTTTGTGAGAAACCTAATGACTTTCTTTTGTACTGTGGCTCATCAGACTGAATTATATTATATAATACAGTGTGAAGTGCTTTTTGAAAGGAAAAAAAAAAACAAAATACATAATAAGTAATTATTTGACGAAATGTCAAACACAACAATAAATAAATCAAAATTGTTGACCTACTGTTGCAGAAGCAGAGAGAAAATAAAAATAGGCTCTTTTAAAATGTACCCTGCAAAATGTTGCATGTGTAAAATCCATAATTGTTACTTTTTTCCTGAATTGCTTTTGCTGTGACAGCAACCTGAAATGGTCCTTCGTGTCCTCTGGTACGGTCCATATTCTAGAGGACTGGGGCAAAACATATCTAGATTCATTAATGATCAGTTATGTGAAGATTTCTCCTACTGTGGATGGATACAGTTGTTGGATTCCTTGATTATGTCAAAACCATAGAACCGAAGTATTACTTAGTGTATTTAGTGCTGTTTGTACCTGAAATTCAAAGTCATAAATCAAACTATTAACTCTGAACTGTCATATGTAACCTGCATTAACCTTTTCAACTCCTTGGGACCACCAGTGGTTCCAAAATGCACTCTATCATATTCTTCATAACTTTCATATTTCATAAGCTACATTCAAAAGGTGGGTGACGTATGAGGGCTGTAACTGTCTTCTTTCCAGTCAAATAGATGGGTGATGTAATTTTAAACCCTTATAATAAAAGAACCTGAGCTCAATTTTGTTTTTTTCTACTGAAAGTCGACCCATTTTCCCACAGTGATCTGCTCTGTAAAAATTACTTTTATAAAAAAATACAAAGAGTGTCTAAGTCTTTTGGCTTTCAGCAGTAAATTGTAAGCATATAGCAATATGTGTGATCATAAAACACATGTTCTGTTAACTTTTACAAAAAATAAAAAATAAATAAATAAATAAAATAAAAATTTACATTTATTGCATGCAGTTATTGAATAATTTGCCTTATGATTTGGTCATGTAAATTCAGATGGACAAACCAAAATATACCCTGGAGAATAAGAGGTTAAGGACTTTGTGCTATGCCTGAAGCTCCCTGGCCTCTCTGACAGTAGAACCAGAGTTGTCATTTATTTTCTAAATTATGTAATTATTACTTATTTCTTCATCTTTGACTATTTGCAACACTGTTGGTATTATTTCATTGGAATTGTAAACATTTACTTAATTATGTATTTCTGCGTTCTGTTTAATCATATTCTTGATTAAAACCCTCTGGCTTTTTTTCTTTTTTTTCCCCGTTTTTCTACTTCTATTCTTCTACCAACGTTTACATTTCCTACTTTATAAGTCTCCTTTTGTTATAATAAACAAATAATTGTTAACAAAAAACAAAAACAAACCATCGTTTTTCTTTTATCTGACCGACTTTTCTCTTAACTGGCTCCCATAGCAACCGGCGTGCTCGCGGACGTGACGCGATTCATAGCTAAAAGTCGCGTCGGTGAAAGAATCTAAAATAAGAGCATCACAGTAAACAGTTTAAATAATAATTACACAGAATTACGCATGAAATAGTTATTTTATTTGTGAGAGAAGGTACGTTTGATTTTCATTTTGTTGTAAAGACAGCAGCTGGCTGAGTTATTCGTATGTTCTTGATAAATACGCGCTTTTACGTAAGCTTACGTAAGCGGTTGAATGATTTAGCTCACAGCTAAGCTAATGCACTGGCAGCGACAGATCTTAGCTGTTTTTATAAGCTGTTTTCACTTAGTAACTCATTTTATTGACGTTTTTACTAGTTAAAAAATGTGATCTACTCGCACAGATTAACGTTAATGTGCCTAGTTAGCTGGACGAAGCTGAAGTTGGCTCCTTTTTCGAATTGTCCGTTCCACCTTAAATGGTACCGCAGTTATAGTCTGGTGCCTCGGGCGCCAGAATGTTACTACTGCTCATTTAAGGTGGAACGGAAAATTCGAAAAAGAAGCCGAACGCTGCTTTAGCTCATCTGTTTTTCTGATTGTACTAGACATTGTTCTCTTTCATTGCTGTTGTTACTCATCTCTTGCAGGGTGTTTTCACGGGGAGCCGAGGATGGGGAAAGGCTGTAAGGTTGTGGTCTGTGGTTTGGCCTCTGTCGGTAAAACAGCAATTCTAGAACAGTTACTGTACGGCAACCACAGCGCGGGTCAGTTCACAGTCTGGATTCTTCTACAAAACATATGAAACGTTATCAACATGTTATTTTGCTGAGACAGTATGCACAGCCTTTAAAACGATGGTTCTCCAAGGTCCTGTGGAGACCCATATTAAGTGACCTCCTCATTCTAACCCATCTGTGCAGTGAAACACCACATACACACTAGTGAACACACAGTAGGGGGCAGTGAGCACACTTGCCCAGGGAGCAGTTGTGGTTAGGTGTCTTGCTCATGGGCACCTCAGTCACGTACTTTCGGCTCAGGGGATCAAACCGACGACCTTCCGTCACAAGGCTGGTTCCCTAACCTCCAGCCCAGGACTGCCCTATGTGTGTTTAAACGGTCCTTCATATTGCTGGAGACTCTGTTGTATATGGTTCTGCTATTGTTATGATGTCAAGCTTGTAACTGGGCTTGGGATGTATCAGAATAGAAGTATTGGGAGTGCGTATTCAGAGTACCGAAAAGACGTATCTGTTTTCAGTCCAAGTTACATTTTGTACAGGCAAAATTCAGAATACAGTTACTTTTTCACATTTTTTAGAATATTTATCCTCTAAATGTAAAAAAAGTCTTTAAAAGAAACACAATCAGTGCTTGTTTATTAACTGTTTTAAAATCAGCGCACAGCATGTGAAGTTCCTGCTGAAGCCTGAGTAGACTGATAAATCAATGTGATCAGTTATTAATGTGTTACTGAGTTCTGCTAAAGCCTGGATAGACTGATAAATCAATGTGATCAGTTATTAATCTCAGTGTTACTGAGCTCTGCTAAAGCCTGAGTAGACTGATAAATCAATGTGATCAGTTATTAATCTCAGTGTTACTGAGCTCTGCTAAAGCCTGAGTAGACTGATAAATCAATGTGATCAGTCATTAATCTCAGCATTACTGAGCTCTGCTAAAGCCTGAGTAGACTGATAAATCAATGTGATCTGTCATTAATCTCAGTGTTACTGAGCTCTGCTAAAGCCTGGATAGACTGATAAATCAATGTGATCAGTTATTAATCTCAGTGTTACTGAGCTCTGCTAAAGCCTGAGTAGACTGATAAATCAATGTGATCAGTTATTAATCTGTGTTATTGAGCTCTGCTAAAGCCTGAGTAGACTGATAAATCAATGTGATCAGTTATTAATCTCAGTGATATTGAGCTCTGCTAAAGTGCTGTGAATAGAACCATATATAACACATTCTCCATCAATCTGAAGAACATTTAAGCATGCAAATTGTTCTGTATAGCACCCATGTTTATAAATAGAACCATTCCCTTCATTTCCCTTCAAGAACCATCTTTTATAAGTGTGTAATTTCACATACTAAATGTTATACTATGTAGTACATAATCTTATATACCACATATTAAAATAGTGTGTTATTAAATATGTGCAGTATATTTATTGGTAAAACTCCTGTACATCATATCCTTTGTACCCTTGATAGCAAAGTCTTTATAGGGAAGTCTGTTCACTCTTTTTAACGCTGCTGGGCAGTTATTTCCAGCCATAAAAGACCAGGTTCCTCTCTCTTTAAATGAGGAGAGACCAAAAATACTCAAAACTGAAGGTCAAATCTGAAGACCTCATAAATAGTTTGTAGCGTTTGGCTCAAAAACACACAACATGATTTTTAGCTTGTTCTGGCTGCTGCGCTTGCGCATATCTTGACGAGTGGGGGGCTTTCTCTGCCCACGGCTTTACCAGCAAGCTGATTGGCTCTTTTTCCTGAAGGACGGCACCTTTATAACCTCTCTGACGACAGTCAAAACAATACTGACACCAAAGAGTGACACAGAAACCATTTTCAAAGTTTTGTTTGGATTTACTGATCTTGAAGTGATTCCAGCCAGGACTGTGTTTAGTGTATTTACTACTGGAAATATTGTCATCAAAGGGGAATTCCACCCGTTGTTCAAAATTTTGCATAAATCAATGTATAATTCAGCCATTAAGATGTGAAGTCATTCAGAGTGGTTTGGTGTGAAATGGTTGATGGTAGAGACTTCTTTACAGTGGTGGTGATAGGAACCAGGGGTCACCATGTCTGCAACACAAATATAGACATTTTATTTACTATCCAAAACCACCAGTGACCTACACGAGTCTTGAGTTCTTATATATAATGTTGATGATGGTAAAATTGTCATAAATCTGGAAAAAAAAAAAAGTTTTCCTTCTGTGACTATTTTGCCTCACAACACCCTGCATTTGTCCTGCCACCACAAATTGAATTTTTAGGCCAAAACATTCTCAAAACTATCATAAATCAGTGTCTCAGACAGCAGGCAGTGTATTACTGACCATTTCATGTAATAACTTTCTGTGGGGGAGCTTTCAGAGGTGGACGTCTGGTTCCTATCACCACCACTGTGAACAATTCTCACTTGTTAGTTTCTCTAGAACAGAGCGTTTCACACCAAACCACTCTGAATGACTCTGTTTACATCTCAACCATTTAATCGTGTAGGACTTCTGAAAAATCAGTGAAGTTTCCCTTTAAGCTGCTTCGTCTCTGGTTTAGGTTCAGAATCAAACGAAACCCAGGAAGATATTTATGTTGCCTCGGTGGAGACGGACCGCGGAGTGAGGGAGCAGTTACGGTTATATGACACAAGGGGGCTCCGAGACGGCCAGGATCTTCCTAAACATTACTTCTCCGTGGCCGATGGCTTTGTGCTGGTCTACAGCGTCGACAGTCTGGAGTCCTTCAAGAAAGTCGACCTGCTGAAGAAGGAAATAGACAAGTCCAGGGACAAAAAAGAGGTAATAAAGAGAGAGAATGGTGAAATTCACTTCTACTTGTCATTGGTTTCCTATATGGTTCACTAGGGAAACTGTTCCAAATAAGAAATATTCCTAAAGACCTTTAAAGACCCTTTAATTTCAATTTATCTCTAATGAAGTATTGAGTTTTGCTAGACATACACTGGATATGGATAATAGCTTTTCAAATGTCTTTAAAACAAAAGCATGCATTCTTTGAGGAATGGCATAACCAAATTACAGCCTAAGCAAGTTTATTTAGAGAAAAATAATCACGTAAATATTTGTCACCTTGTCACATTATTGGTGGGTGGTGGATCATTCTCAGCACTGCAGTAACACTGACGTGGTGGTGGTGTGTTAGTGTGTGTTGTGCTGGTCTGAGTGGATCAGACACAGCAGTGCTGCTGGAGTTTAAACACCTCAGTGTCACTGCTGGACTGAGAATAGTCCACCAACCAAAAACATCCAGCCAACAGCGTCCTGTGACCACTGATGAAGGACTAGAGGATGACCAACACAAACTGTGCAGCAGCAGATGAGCTATCGTCTCTGACTTTACATCTACAAGGTGGACCGACAAGGTAGGAGTGTCTAGTGTAGGAGTGGACAGTGAGTGGACACAGTGTTTAAAAACTCCAGCAGCACTGCTGTGTCTGATCCACTCATCACATGTCTTGTTATGACGGCAGTCAATCAATGCGTTAGTGCTGCTTTATTGAAACCCGTCATTTGAGCATTATACGGTTGTACGCAAAAGTTTGGGCACCCCTGGTCAAAAGACATTTTTTGTTGATTTTCTAAGTGTAAATAAGTTACACATCCTCTACAGAGAACACACTTCTGCACACTTTAATACACAATTACTGTTTATTTTCTGAAACTCACCAAAAAACGTAGGCTGTGCAAATATTGTGGCACATTTTATATTTGTTTTCTTTTTTTCCAATACACAAAATTTGGCAAATTAATTGAAATTGTGCATTAAAATGACCAGAAAAGTGCCTTATTTAAGTGTGTTCTCTGTAGAAGATGTGTTAACTTATTTTAACATAGAAACGTACTTTGACCAGGGGTGCCCAAACTTTTGCATACAACTGTACCTATACCATATAAACGGCTTTGGTCTCAAAATCTGAAAGTGTCTGATGAAATCTGAATTAACTCTATTACAGCATAATTATTAATTTACTTAGCAGATAAACACATATAAGTCAAACATTGTTTCAGGGAGGTTTTTTTGTTTCTTTACTTAAACCTCAGAACCTGAAACCTGTGCACTTTGCGGGCAAACATGTAGGTAACTTCTAGCCTTCATAACTTTAGAGCGGTTTAAGCTACAGACATGATGCACATGTCAGACCATTCGGCAGATCCAACCCAAACTAGATAGCGTGATGTCATTGAGCTGTGATATCAGCCTCAGTGAGTAATTCAGCTCAGAAAATCACCACAAAATCCTGATATTATTGCTCTGCATTTTGACCTTCATATCCCAACAAAGGGTGAAAACAGCGACATGATTCACACATCAGATCACTCATCAGCCTCTGATCTCACCATCCAGAGTGATTTCATCCACCTGTGACCGTCCATCAGCCAGAAATCCAGCTCGAAAATCACCCACAACCAACTCGCTACTGTTGTATTACATCTCTGCTTTTGGCCTTCATATTATAAACAAAGGGTTAAAAATAACAACACACACCAGAACACTCAGAGGAACCTGCCATCACTAGCCAGAGTGAAAGAAACCAGCTCTAACATCACACAACCTAGAAATACAGCGCAAACACACAGCCAGATCACTGTAAAACCTGCTATTAGCTCCCTGCTTTAGCCTTCATATGGCAACAAAAGGGTTAACAGAGCAGTGAAAAACATTCCAGTTTTATATCAGTATGTCTGACAGATGTTTTTAATGTCAAACTATCCAATACACAGCACACATTATCTCATACCGACAGCAATGAATGTTAATTAAGCAACAGAACACAGAGGGAGTGTGTATCGCAAAATAACATCACAGCTGTGATTTGGTCACCGTAGATCATCACAGCCGTGATGTTATTGGTGATAACACACTCCTCGAGTGTTCTATTGCTTTAATACAACAGTTAAATGAATAAAGTAATAAATTAATAAACTGGGCCGTGAACGCGGCGTTTAATATGTTTTAATGTTCGCAGTTCCTTCACCAAATTATAGTTCCTTAACGAGCAGCTTGTTGCTACGTCAGAGTAACGAGCTCTGCCCACTCGCTGCACAGCCGGCAGTTCGTTCTCCAGCTCCACACACTAAATTCCCAAACTGTCATCACCACTGAGCAGCTTTTTTGTTTTTTTTTATTGTGGCAGTTTTATGGCTCAGTCCGATTTGGTCAGATTCTGAAGATCAGACTACACGTTTGGCGAATGGTATTGGGTTCATTTCTGGCTGATTCCAGGTTGTTTAGCTGTTCTTCTGTCACAGCTGCCGACTGAAAAGCTGCTCAGTGGTGACGACAGTTTGAGAATTTAGTTTAGTCTCATCTTCAAAATCTGACCAAATCGGCTGTCGGTCAAATCTGATCTTAAAAGTGTCCATTTTCTGTTTGTGGCAAAGTAAGAAGTAAAAACGCTCAAATGGCTTGAGCGTCTCCTACAGCTGTCAGAGTCGTTGCTTAGCAACGGCGTCTCAGCGGAGTGATACAGCGTTTGTGAACAACCTGTGATGTTATGGTGAAATAACAGCACGGTTAGAACGCCTCTCAACCAATCAGCTCGCGTGGCCGGAACTACCTGTTGTATAATATGTGTATTGTGCCTCTTCTCTATCCAGGTGATGGTGATCGTGCTGGGTAACAAGTCAGATTTGCGAGAGCGTCGTCAGGTGGAGCCGGAGGTGGCTCAGCAGTGGGCCCGCGGGGAGAAGGTGAAGCTGTGGGAGGTGAGCGTTACGGAGCGCAGCTCCCTCATCGAGCCCTTCACCACCCTCACCAGTCGCCTCACGCAGCCCCAGAGCAAGTCTGCCTTCCCCCTGCCCGGCCGCAAGAGCAAGGGCACCCCCTCCAACGACATCTGACCCAGCTGGATCCCCCGCAGGACCAGCTTTCTTAGAGAAGAGCACTCGGTGGGCACTAGCAGAGGAAGAAATATTGATCATGCACACCTACACTTATTTATGCTAGTTATAAATACTGTTGTGTGCAAAAGTTTGAACACCCCCGGTCAAATGACATGTTTTGTTGAGTTTCTAAGTGAAAATAAATCTATAAATTAACAAATCTAGGAGCACTTCAGTTTACGACTGGCTTATAAAGGCTTTATGAATAGTTTAATATTAGTTTGGGTCACTAACACCTTAATAAATAGGTATGACATGTTTATAAAAGGGCAAAAGTGAGCAGCTATAATCTAATGAATGTGAAGCTGGCAGGTTTGATGTAAGTAAGATTGGTAACCAGCAGCATCATCTTTAACCGTGCAGATGAATTATTAACGATTTTTAAAGTGTTTGTGGCCTAATCACCATTAATAAACTGATCTTAAGCCAGTTATAAACCCTTTATAAGGACAGTCTTATGCTGAAGTGGTACTACACATCCTCTTCAGGGAATAAATGCCAAATATGTCATTTTCCTGCTATTTTTAGTGGACATTTTTGTTTTATTTGCTGAGTTTTGGAAAAATAAAGCGTAAATATAAATGTATGCACATATAAATGTGCCATAACTTTTGCACAGGCCACATTTTATGTTTTGTTTTTTCCCCAAAGTTAAATTCAGCAAATACACAGTAATTGTATATTAAAATAATATGTGCAGAAATCTGTTCTCTGCAGAGGAACTTATTCTCACTTTGTAAATAAACAGAATGTAATGTCTTTTGACCAGGGGCGCCCAAACTTTTGCATAAGACCGTATAATGCTCAAATGACTTGGGTTTGAATAAAGCAGGACTGATGCATTGATTGGCTGGCCGGAACAACCTGCTGCTGCCGTAACAGAACCTCACCGAAATGGTAACTTCATACAAAAAGGAAAAAACTTTAATGAACATTAATGTTACAAGGTTTTAGGCTGTTTCTGTCGGTCCGGTCATCAGGAAATGTTTACACAATGTAAAGAACAGCTGATGTTTTTTAAGGCTATAAAGAAAAAGAAGTGATGAGGTGCTGATATGACGACAGCAGTGTGTATCCAGGTTGGCAGGGCAACAAGGATTATGTCTTTCTACAGTGACTTTCTTCAGTGCTTCCACAACAACGAAACTTTTAAAAGAAGATTTCCAGCAATTTTTTTTCAAAATTTCTGCATGAGAGATGTAAACAGAGTCATTCAGAGTGGTTTGGTGAGAAATGGTTCAGATTTCTTTACAGTGGTGGTGATAGGAACCAGGGGTCGCCATGACTACAACACAAATATAGACATTTTATTTACCATCCAAAACCACCAGTGAACCAACACGAGTCGTCTGCACTTTTATATGTAATGATGATGGTAAAATAGTGGAAAATCTAAACGAAAAAACATTTCTGTTTCTATATTGCCTTAAAATGTCTTGTATGCATGTTTGAAATATATTTTAGGGAAAAATCCTCCTAAAAAAAACATCTCAGAGACCAGGCAGTGAATTCATAACGATTTCATGTAGTAACTTTCTGTGAGGGAGCTTTTAGAGGTGCACGTCTGGTTCCTATCACCACCACTGTGAACAATTCTGACTCGGTAAGTTTCTCTAGAACGAAGCGTTTCACACCAAACCACTCTGAACGACTCTGTTTACATCTTAACCATTTATTCATGCAGAAATTTTGAAAAATGGGTGGAGTTCCCCTTTAAGTCTAAGACAGCTGTTTTGCTATGAGGTGCTTGTCTATTCAAACTGCCACAAGTGCTTTAATGTAATGACACCAAGGTGTGATGTGGAGGTTTTATTGATATCAGTCATTCATGTAACACTATGATAACGTCTTCCAGCTCCATTCAGGATGGAATATATCGTAGACCTTTAACTCTGATCTGAGCTCTGCATTTTGGCCCAAAGCATTTGAAGCATGGTCCTGTAATACTTGAGGTAATTATATTATAGCAATAGAAACACTGGAGAAAATGGTACATTGGCAAGTGAAATCATCTTAAATCATCAAATATTTCTGATTATGAGATCATAAGAGGTCTTAGTAACAAGCAATCTTCATTCTCAACAGCTTTACAGCTCTAGGGTTTGGGAAGATTAAGGGGAATTTAATAGAAATGTAGTTGAATGTAATTAAATGCAGTATTATTATAACTTAGTATTAATATAAGCACTAGTTTCCAGCAATTTTGATTAGTTAAATTCTTATTCCATTGGCGGACAATGTCAACTGGCAGAAATAATGATTTAAATTAAGAAAAATTTCCAATAGAATAAGAACTTAACAGGATATAATGACTTATAAATCATTTAAGTTAGTAATTTTACAGTGTTCTTAGAGAAATATTAGATACAGTCATAAGCAAATGTTTGAACACCCCTGGTCAAATTACGTTTTGTTGATTTTCTAGGTGAAAGTAAGTTCCTCTACAGACAACTCACTCAAATATGGCAATTAAAACTGTACAACTTTGATTTGTTTGACTGAGTTTAACATAAAAAATAAAACATAAAATCTAAAATGTGCTGCGACTTTTGCACAGGCCAGTTAAACACCCCCAGTTATTCAGCAAATAAACAGTAACTGTGCAATTAAACATGAACGTTTGCTCTCTAGAGCAGTGTTTCTCAAGCTTGGTCCTGGAGGCCCACTGACCCACATTTTTTGTGTTTTCCCTGCTCTCAACACACCTGATCCAACTAATCAGCTCATTGACAGCCTGCTTGTTGGGTTAAAGTGGTGTCAAAGCAGGAAAAGCACTAAAATATGCAGCACTTTGGGCCTCCAGGACCAGGCCTGAGAAACACTGCTCTAGAGGATGTGACAGGGGCGCTCAAACTTTTGCATGTGACTGTATGTAGACCAGATTTAAGACGATTTCATTTGCCAGGATATTTTTCGCAGTGAAAAGTGTTTTCCTCGTTTTTTAATACGGTAGCTCTTACTGTCTGGTACGTGATTCGTGAAGCTGAGTGAACTGTTAGTATGAATGCCAGAGCCGTTTGTGTACATTTACAGATATTTATTTTATTTATTTTGCCACTTTACTGAGTAAATCATAGTAACTAAAATAGCCTATAATTGCACAACTTTCTGTGACGCGTTTTGTAATCTGCCTCTGGTGTTAAGCAGATATAAAGTGTATGTTGAGAAGAGCAGCCTAATAAAAGTGATTCCTTCAGACTGACCTTTCATTGCACTGAAGGCTGTAACCATACACAGATTTTACAGTGTGATAAGGACTGTGTGGCTTTTGCACCCCGAGAAAAATACCAAAGACTTTTGATGCAGACGTGTCATTTTAATGAATTATTTTTGGCCAAAGTCAATTTAGTAAAACAAGACTGCAGCGCCAGGTGAATGAGTAATTAATACAATTACAGTAATTGTAATTACAGTAATTGTAATTAATACAATTCTGGCTTTAGATAAATTCTTAAAATACATTTAAATACAGTCTAAGTAGTTTCAGTTTCTTACTTTCATGGTTGTATTTTAGGAACATGAGGTTTCTAATAGAACAGCGGATATATATATATATATATATATATATATATACATATATATATATACACATACGCGCGCACACACACACAAAACTGTCTCATTAGCAAATTTACAAAATAAAAGACACTACTTAAGGCCTTTAATTTGTTAAATTTATTTATTATAAACTATATAACATTTTCACAAATGTCTGACTATATAAACAAATTTAGAATATTCACTGACAGCTATATCTGTTTTTCATATATATCACAAGTTGGGTGTGTGTAATAATTATATATATATATATATATATATATATATATATATATATATATATATATATATATACATATATATACACACACACACCTACACTTTTTCTGTGTTTGGCAAATAAACTGACATCTCTCAGAAAGTCATAATACCTCACTTTATCCCTGCTGTTTTTCTTACTGTGCCTTTAAGACTGATACATGTAAATGTGCTTTGTTCTGATTGGCTGTGCCTCTTTCTAAATGCTCTCAGAGTTGAAACACACTAAAAGTTCTGTAGGCTCAATAGGTTGATATGTATAAACCAGGCTGTTTTTGCAGCTCAGTTTCCATAAATAAACTGTTCACATACATCAAACTCGTTTTTTTTAAAGGACAGGATTTCCTGGTATGGGCCCTTTAAAGAGCTGCACACACTCCGTGTGGACGCGCGAGACGAGCGGCCATGATTTATTTTGGCTCAGAATAATATCGGCCTCTTGTGGGTGAAACTATCACAGCTACATTACTCAACCAGAGACTGAAATGCGAGTGTGCGTCACCGTTTTGAGCAGGTTTGTGGCTGATGACTTGGCCGCGGTGCCGAGAGTAATTGCTGACAGAGTCAAAAGGCGTCGTACATCCAATGTAACTTTAATAGCAGAGGAGGGAAAAATACATTACAGTCAGACATGGTAACCAGAGGGTCATGCTGTGATTTCATTTTACAAGCAGAGTTTTATAATGAAGGTCCTTTTGAAGCACTAAACTAAAATCAATTTACAAGAGCAGAACAAAAAGGAAGACACATTAAGATCCATTATTGCCAAATCATGATTCTACATGGGTCGAGAGAAAAAGGAAAAGGTCACACATAATGACGATATCAGAGAAAAAAAGACTTTAAATTCCACCATAAAAATCCTCCCTGTTCTCTATCCCACAGCTGAGTCCCCTTACCTCCCCCTTTCATATACATCCTCCTCCCTCTCCCACCCTCACACCCCCCACCCCGCCCAAGCCCTCCCGAGTCATCCCACCAGCAGCTTTCTTCCCTCCCTGCAGGCGATTATGTGGCGTAGCGCTTGGTCCACTGTTTGGCTATTCTGTCGTGCTCCGGTCTGTTGGTTGTGTACTGAGTGGCGATACTTCCCACCAGAGGGTCAGCTGCAACACACAAACGGCAGTTTAAATTAAAACGGGTAAAAATATCTTCATGGCAAAAGCAAAACATAGTTCACATTTACGAATGCAAAGTCTGGTGAATTCTTTAGGCCGATGACCGTCTTTAGTTCCCAATTAATGATTTACACAATGATGCATGAAAAGCAGTGATGTACTATGAGATTCTGGCACTGAGGTTATAGGAACAAGTCTGAAGGAAACCACCTGAGGTGATATGGTATCCCAGGTGGTTGCTAAGGTATTGCTAGGCCTTTGCTATGGCATCCTCAGGGATTGCCAAGGTGTTGCTAGGCTGTTGCTATGCTATCATAGGTGGTTACTAAGGTATTACTAGGCCTTTGCTATGGTACCCTAGGTGGTTGCCAAGGTGTTGCTAGAACGTTGCTATGCTATCGTAGATGACTGCTGAGGTGCTAAGGTTGTAGCTGGAGTGTTTCTATGCCTTTGCTATGGTATCCTAGGTGGTTGCCAAGGTGTTGGCTGTTGCTATGCTATTGCAGTTGCTGTTGCTATAGGCTGTTGCTATGCTATCGCAGGTGGTTACTAAGGCATTACTAGGCCTTTGCTATGGTATCCTAGGTGGTTGCCAAGGTGTTGCTAGGCTGTTGCTACGCTATCGTAGGTGGTTACTAAGGTATTACTAGGCCTTTGCTATGGCATCCTAGGGGATTGCCAAAGGTGTTGCTTGGACATTGCTATGCCATCGTAAGTGGTTGCTGAGGTGCTAAGGTTGTAGCTAGGGTGTTTCTATGCCTTTGCTATGGTATCCTAGGTGGTTGAAAAGGTGCTGCTGGGTCGTTGCTATGCTATCGTAGGTGGTTACTAAGCTATTACTAGTGGAAAAAAAAGAAACACTGCAAGTTAGCTTTGTGAAGCCAAATTAATGATGGGCTACTGAAAGTTCTGCTTATCACTCATTACTAGCCCAAAAAAACCAAACATATATGCCACAGCTGTGTCGAGCTTTAAATAGCTGCCTGTCACTTGCAGATGTTTCCTTTTGATATAACACTCTTTCAGCATAGAGTATTAGCACAGGGCCTATCAAACTAGTTATCAGTGCTAACTAAAACATTATCCAATGTGGTGATATTTGGGAAACTGTTTTTGAAGTACTCAGCACTAATGTGTGGAAAAAACATCCATTCATCATAGGTGAACTAGGTGAGGAACGTAAATAAAACTTAATATATAAAATTAGGGGTGCGGGAAAAACTCGATTCTTAGATGCATCGCGATGCGGACGTGAACGATTCTGAATCGATTCACAAATGTCAAAAATCGATTTTCTAAATATTTAATTTATAATGTAATGTTGACGGAACGCAAAAGGCGGAACTTGGAAGTGTGGAAGTGCAGCGCCCAGACAGTCTGTGGCGGCACATAACAAAAAACACTACTGGATGAGTGAGAAATCCGACCGGCTCCCTCTGCATTAAAAGCCAGGTCAGGTCAGGAGTCACAACACAAATGATAAGAAGAGACATTTTGTCCTTTCAACAAAAATCAAACCAGCTTGGGAGCCACAACATTTAATGTCCAGTATGTCTCACTGTGTGATAATGTCCTAGTATAGACTAAACAATATAAACGAGAGCGCAGATTTACTTCGCTCTGCTTTAAGCTTCGCCTACAGCCGCTTTCCTCCCATCTCCACCAGAAAACTTTTCAACGTTCAGCTGTTTTACGAGGCTGAAGTCGCTTCTTATTCTCCAGCTTCTTGTTTGAATTTACCTGTTCCACCTTAAATTCTGACTGAGGCGCCGAATGTAAATGCGGCACCATTTAAGGTGGAACGGGAGAATTCGGAAGAGAAACGACTTCAGCTTCGCCACTTTTTAGTGTTTGACAGTCTCTCGTTGCAGATTTAACGTACCAGGAAACCAACTGCGCTGCTTATAAACGCAAATGCATCGCTGCTATGTGACCTGCAGTTTGCACGCTGGATCTCAGTCATCGCGAAACAGGGCTTTCGTGCTATGTTGCACACGACCCGTCTCAAAGACACTTTACTGACACAGCGATCCCCCACCCCACCCCACCCCCCCGTCTCTACAGCGAGACCAAAACCGAAGTTATAAAATCACTGAATTAAACGGGTAGAATAGCTGTAACGCGCTGCGTGGAGACTCATCACCACTGGATCTTATTTCACCATAACTGCGCGTTTTATCACAGATGAGTAGCAGCAGCTTCTCGTGCTCCGAACAAGAACACTGAATGAGAGCCTTCTAGTTCAGTTGCCACATCGCTTCCATTTGTTTTATTAAAAAAAGATATTGGAAGTAAATTCATTATGGATCATTACAAATACTTTGCTTTAAAAGCACCAAGTCACTTTGAATAACTAACATTGAGTTACTTAGTCACTTTAAAATGTATATTGTCTCTATATTCTGTGTATATTTAATATATTTGTTATTTTTTCTTGTATTTTTATTTTTACTTATTTACTTTCTGTAGAGTGAATAGCTGAGCCTCACCACAAGCATTTCAATGCATAAATGTCCTGACATGTCGTGCAAATGACAAACTTGAAACCTGAACTCGAAACTTGAGCTCACACAGTGAGAAAATAGAAATGCTATATAGAAAAAAAAAGATGCATCGATAATCATTTTATACTCGCATGACATATTTAGTTTTTCTGAGATTCATCAGGTTGGAACAGACAAAACAGAACCTGTAAAGCCACACAGTAAAAATACTACAACTACAGTGACTTTAACATGCAGTCAGTGTTCTTTAAGTACTGATGACATCCAGGATATGCTCAGAAAGGCATATTGTGACTATAACTATAAAACACTCTCATATTGCCTCACACTATTATGGTATCAGTTTATTTTGACTGTACACTGTAGATAATTTGCAGATGATTCACTTATTAGCAGGGCTGTATTACTGTGGATGTAGAGAAGTTCATAATCGTCACAGTTTTATCTTGAACTTTGTACTTGGACTTATCTCGGTCTCAACTATTAGTTTCGGGTCCAAAAATATTTTTCTTTCCTTCTTTTGACCGTCACTAACATGCACTGACTCGTACGCTGGGGTTAAACTGGGCCGGAGTGAACCGGAGCAGAGCTTCAGTGTCTGGTTCGTGTCAAGGGCAAAAAGAGCCCTCTGAATCGTAATCAAATCGTGAGGTGCCTAGAGATTCTCACCCCTATATAAAATGTATTAAATACATCTGCAATGTTCAAACAGGTCAATTTCACAATTCAAAACATTGTCATTAATGAAGCAAATAAAGATACAAGTAAATCAATACAGCAGTAATATAATATATATATAAATAAGCAAGTGTCTGCAGCATCATACATGAGCATCAAACAGCTAAATGCATGCCCACACCTGTAACTGCCAGGGCTGGCCTGTATGGCCTCCCCTGTTATAGTCTAGGTCTTACAGACTGAGCTCCAGCATACAAGCCATTACTGACAACGCTGCAGCTTCAGCCCACGACCAGTCAATTCTGAAAGACCAAATGTGTGGTTTTCACTCTAACTTCAGCACTAATAGTTCTCATAGCAGGACAGTCAGTCATCGAGCAACTACTAGTTTCAGTTTCTGTTTCCATTTAATCAAAATAGGTATTCAGATATACAATATATGCTCAAAATTTTGTAGACTGCAGTGTTTCTTCTGAAATGAAGGGTATTAATTGGGAGTTTGTTCTCCTTTGCTGCAGTAACAGCCTCTACTCGTCTGTGAAGGCTTTACACTAGTTGTGAGGATTTGATTGCTTTTAGCCACAAGAGCAACATCAGTGAGGTCAGGTACTGATGTTGGATCAGCTCTGCATCACTCCAACTCAAAGATATAGCATTCCCTCTGCTCCACAGCCCGTTGCTTATATCTCTCTAGCCGACAGGCATGGTGACCTTAGGCTCATGTTTGGCTCCTCTAGAGTGTCCTATTCTACTAGTCAATGCTTTTCTATGGAGATTATACAAGCTGTATGCAATATATCAAACGAGCAGCAGATGTGACCAACACTGGGCACCTAAAGGATTCTTTCCTTTAAGGCCTGAACTATTTATTACAGTGAGTTAACTGTAGCACAGAGGTGAGTCTTACCAGGGTTGCAGTCTGTGAGGAGGGAGCAGATGGACAGCAGCACCTTGGAGATGGTGAGGGCTGGGCTCCAGTTGTCCTTCAGGATGTCCAGACAGATCACTCCCTGACTGTTGATGTTGCAGTGGTAGATTCTCGTACGGAACGTCACCTGGAAGACCAAACGCACCTTTAGCTTTTGGCTTAAAGCACAAATCACCACAGTGAGTCAGAACTGTTCACAGTGGTGGTGATAGGAACCAGACGTCCACCTCTAAAAGCTCCCTCACAGAAAGATATTACATGAAATGGTTATGAATTCACTGCCTGATGCCTGAAACAGTGTTTTATGACAGTCTTTGGAAGGTTTCGGACTAAAATTTATTGTTTTTAAAATCCATTAATGGTGGTGGGATACATGCAGAGTGTCTTAAGGCAAAACAGTCCCTAAAGAAAACAAATTTTTGTCAGATTGACCATAATTTCCCAATAACATTACATGCAAGAACTAAAAAGACTCGTGTGGGTTCACTGGTGGTTTGGATAGTAAATAAAATGCCTATATTTAGCACCTTTAGCTTTTGAGTAGCTTTAGAGTAGGAATCGCCACATACCTTTGTTAATATGGTCATGGCAAAGGAGTGGGTGAAAAATATATCACAATACACAAGACATTCTCAACACAAAATGTGCATAATATTCAGCTTTTCTGAGATTCATCAGGTTGGAACAGACAAAACAGAACCTGTAAAGCCACACAGTAAAAATACTACAACTACAGTGACTAATCAGTGGTTTACAAACTAATATGTTCACTGTGTAATGGAACATGCAGTCAGTGTTCTTTAAGGACTGATGACATCCAGGATATGCTCAGAAAAGCATATTGTGACTATAACTATAAAATACTCTCATATTGCCTCACACTATTATGGTATCAGTTTATTTTGACTGTACACTGTAGATAATTTGCAGATGATTCACTTATTAGCAGGGCTGTATTACTGTGGATGTAGAGAAGTTCATAATCGTCACAGTTTTATCTTGAACTTTGTACTTGGACTTATCTCGGTCTCAACTATTAGTTTCGGGTCCAAAAATATTTTTCTTTCCTTCTTTTGACCGTCACTAACATGCACTGACTCGTACGCTGGGGTTAAACTGGGCCGGAGTGAACCGGAGCAGAGCTTCAGCGTCTGGTTCGTGTCAAGGGCAAAAAGAGCCTAGCTCTGGTTCTTTAATTTGATGGAAATGTAAATAGTTGTGTTCTTTGTGAAATCAATTTCTCTCAATAAATATGTTTGTGTTCTGTCATTAACATGAATTCATGTAAACGATTTCATTATACAGGGAGATTCACTCGAAAGAGGCCCCGAATATTCTGTAATAACTCTCGTCAAGACGAAGCAATCTGAACAACGTTTAACCTCCCTAATGCTTACTGATACAATCAGCCACATCAAAATGTGTCTGGCAGAAAACGGAGATCACTTCGAGCATCGCATGTAATGCAATCGATTACACACACGTCAAGGTGTGCAGCGTATTTTTCTGGTTCAGATTGCTTCATCCTAACAGAAGTTACAGCAGATTATTTGGGGCCTCTTTCGAGTGAATCTCCCTGTATAAACATATTGTGAAAGCTAAAAGCTGCAGAAATAATTGTAATATGCTAAAATAACTGAGATCAGGTGACAGACCTACTACCTTACATTGAACTAAATATCTATCAACATCTCCTGAGCATGTTACCCTAAATTCAACAGTCAGTCACCCTTATCCTGAACTTCAACCCATGTAATACTAATTCTAACCCTAAACCAGGTTCTAATCTTAACATCACTGAGAAATAACCAAGTTTCACAAGACAGTATGTTAATAATTGGAGCAACTGTGGATCACTGCGCAACACAAAAGGGCTGTAAACAAAAACAGGGTTACTGCAATGTAGCAGCTTTTCTTAGAGTAAGCACAAACGGACATCTGCCACAAGGCCATTGGCCATACAACAGAACATATTAATGAAAACATACTAGGTTACATCCCCATCTCCTTTAATTCAGTTTCTCTTTATTGCCTCCAGCCGGGACAAAGGGAGTGGATACGATGTTCAAGCAATATTCAAGGTCGTGTGTTGCTGTGAATAACATCAAGGCTGTGATTCGGTTGCAGGCACGAGCCGACGGCAAGTACAGTAGCTAATCACAGCCAGTTACTGTTATACAACAGTTCTGCAAAAGAAAGAAAGAAAGAAAGAAAGAAAGCAAGCAAAGAAGCTCATAATATTGTATCAAGGCTGCTTTAATACTGGCAGCTCCCTTTTGCATTAGAGCCACAAAATTCAGACTCCTCTACACTGCAGTTTAATGAAAAAGTAAAGCCAAATTCACCTATAAACGTGTTATTAACCTCTGAAGTCTCCCTTAAATTGCTGAACAGACAGAAACAACCCTGCTGTCGCAAACACAGTGTTCAGACGGTTCTGCATGCTCAATAAACGAAAACATCTAGAGCCCACGTGTCAAACACAAGGCCCGCGGGCCAAGTCAGGCCTGTGACGCGTGACCTATTCGGTCCGCAAATTTATTTTAAAATTTCTTATTCTTATCAGCCCGTTTCACCCTGAGATGCACTACAGACCCCAGAATGCACTGCTACATAGTGTGCATTTTGACCCCCTTCCTCCAACAACCACCTATGGGCCAGTTACACAGAAAGAAAAGATGCCTGGTGTTTGGTTCAGGCAAACAGGCAGTTTTAAAGAACAAAACCTACCAAAAACAATTTATTTTATTGAGAATTTTTGAAAAAGTATTTTTTGGCATATTTTGAATAAACAATGGCCAGTTCAGGTCATGGCAAAATGTTAAGTAACAATGAAGTAAAAACACAGCTGAGCCACAGATTTGCTGAGATTTTTTTTTTTATGGCCCTTTCAGTGGTTAGATCACGGGGTGTCGGACTCAGAGGTGTGCCCAAGTTAACGGCACAACATCAGTGTTTCCAGAAAGCTGCATTTTGCCTGTCCACACTGAAAAGTATTCAAAAACCTCCATTTTTATTGACCGAAAACACCATTTCTTTATGAGGACAGGAGGCCAGAGGAGCAAAAAACAAGCAACAAACAAGCAGTTAAAATCCATAAAATAAGTTCATCTCAACAGCACAACTGACTTCCCTCCCGACTGACATGGACAAATTACACCAGATTTATTAAGCATGAAAAGAGCCAGTTACGATGTGAACGTTGGCGACGTGAAGTGGGCGGAGTCTGTGAAGCAACAACGTTGAGCAAAGTTAAATTTTTTGCAAATGAGCAAAGCGACGTGGCGTTTACCAACAGAACTGAGCATTCAGCAGAGTAGTATGCGCTTTATCTCCGCCACTGTGAAACAGTGCGCTCTGTTTTTGGTTCCTAGGTAGTTGTTCCTACTAGAAATGGAATAATAACTGTGGTGATTTCAACGCAAATTGACAGTAATCGCAAAGCCCAAACTCGGTTTACCTCACATACTGACTGCACAGACACAGGGATTAAATAAAAATAAGCACACAAGCGATTTCTCACCCGGATTTTTAATTTTAGTGGGAACGCATCTGATATATGCTTGGCGTCAGTGAAACCACGGCAACCAACGGTCAGAAGGTGATGAGCCATCAGCGATTTGGGCGACAAGAGGTGAAAAGTCACTGCCGGAGTGAACGCGTGGTAACAATCAGCACAACCAGAACGTGACTGCACAACGAACGACACACAGTGTTCCCAAACCTCAAAACCTTCGTTGCACAAACAGCCACCTGTCAGGGACGTCCAGCTTCCTGCACTGCCATTAATCATCTCTCCACTACTGCATTAACGTGAACCCAGAACCAGACGAATAAAAGCCGGTTTAAATTTAAAAGTCTTACACTTCAGCTAATATTACCAGCCAAGTCGCGTTTCATCTCATATCTTTTAGCTCAGAGAGTTTACACAGAGTTTGACTTGAGCTGATTTCAAACTTGATATCCACTAAATATCGAAACGTTCGAAAACCGTAAGGGTGCAGTAAGTCAGAATATAAAATATAAACTTAAGACGAGCTTGAATGATATATGCGCTATCTGTGCTCTGTCCAATCGGCAGCGGTTCTTCACTGGTAAGCAGCACAGCTTACTTTGTAAAATCATTAATAAATCACCAAAACAGCCAAGATAATCCATCATTTGGTCATTATAAAACACGTAAGTGGCACATTAACACATTTTCTTGATTAAAACACCGCAGAAATGTTCCAGTGGAACAATAATAAACACAGTTCACTGTTCTCTCCCTCTCTTCTCCTCTTCTTAGCTCAACCATTCCTTAACAATGTCAAATTTTTTAATATGTCACTCTCAGTCTCCATCACTGCCTAAGAAACCAGCAGTGAGTTTTACGGTAACACTGTGTTCTGGCTACAGGAGCCAGCCAGTGGGCTAGCTGATGCGACACCAGATAGTGAACCAATATTTTGGGAGTTTTTAGAATAAAGGTCCTCTCTTCTAAGGTACTTCTTCCTTTCTGAGAATTCTGCTTGAGCTCCGTTCTCATTTATTCCACTGCAAGTATCTGGTTCTAATTTCCAAGTTAAGTCAAATGCATTTGATAGTCACCAAATCAGTATTGGAGCTGATGTTTTGAATAAATCTGGCCAATGAACAGTCACACATATAAACATGTATAAAGATGATGACTGCTGTGTGTGCAGAATAAGTACATAAATAAATAAAAGGGCCAATCAGAGGTCCTGAATTATTTAGGGCTTCTAGGCTTCAGCCCACGTAAGCCTGGGCTTTAGATGATCATTGTAAAAGTGATTTTAATACCAAATGGCAGCCTAATCACAATACAAGACAAATCCACCCCCCGACCCAACCTGGACCACATTCCCCTTAACCTAATGCAACATTAAGCCACATACAGCAAGAGGTCTGCATGAAAACACAAGAGGGCTAATTCAGTCGGAGTCATTAGCCAGAACGACCAAAGCAAAACAAAATGAGCCTAAAGATGGAACAACTCACCTTGGGAGGTTTGAAGGGGTAGTCTGGAGTGAAGGCGATGTCAAGGAAGAAGACCCCTCCCTCATAGACAGAGCCTGGAGGACCCAGGATGGTCGACCTCCACTCGTAGATGTTGTCTCCTTTAGGACCAGCACTGGAAAATAATTACAGATTTAAGAATGTAAACAAGCAGGCAATCTGCATAATACACACACACACACACACACACACACACACACACACACACACACACACAGGATCTGCACACCGGATTCACAAAGTCACTTTTTTAAGGGACGAGTCAGAATTTTCTAATATTTACTTAGTCATGATAGTGTGTGTGTGTGTGTGTGTGTGTGTGTGTGTGTGTGTGTGTGTGTGTATTTAGCCAAGATCAGAATTTTTCCTCAAAAAAGTCAAAATTGTCAATTAGCCAATATTTTTGCTTTTACAGCAGACCGGTGTTGCAGTTTTGAGGTAAATAAGGTGAGGCAGGTAAGACCTGCATGACTCACATACGTGACTCATTGTGCTAAATAACTACTCGCCTCTTACACTGAATGTAGCTCTGTTTGATTCATGTCATTAAAATTTTTTCATTGATATTGCGGAAACCTCCGGTCTTTTAGACGACCTCATACCACTTAGTGCCTGCGGTCATGTAAATACAACAAATCTGTCTTATATGCCGTGTAAATATGCAGAGATACTTTTATTTCTACTCTCTTGTACTTTAACTTATGTCTATTTTTATTTCTATTTTTTATTTTGTGCATAGTATATGTAAGTTTATGTGCAATTATAATATCCATCTATCCATCCATCCATCGTTAAGATCGGACAATGCCAGTGCTGGAAATGTGCCAGCGTGTGTCAAATTTGATAAAAGGCAGAAGAGGTGCAAAAAAAAAAATTAATTAAAAAAATAAATAAATAAATAAAATAATAATAAAAACACAATGCGAATTTTGCTGTATAGACATAGGAATCTGCTATTACAACTAAAAATAATACTAAAAATTGGATTATAATGATTACACTACAATTTTAATTTACTTTAAATTCACTTGCAAGCTCAATGACTGTTGCAGGGGAACTATTCACACAATTATATTTGACAAGAGCTTTACTACAGAGTTCACGTTAATCATTATGGCATTGCAGCCTCTGTCGATTTGTATAATACGACGCAAGCCGCTCTGGACAACATCTGCTGCATGAAACCGCATAACTAAACAAAGGAGCACTCCAGCAAGTCACAAATATCGAGTTTAAGCTTTAGGCACGCTGACCAAACTCAGATGCGCTTAATGAATGCGCCACATGTTCTGACAAATTGGAAACATCCACACAATCAACCACACAGTATTTCATCTCAGTCATATCTCTGGAATTATAACTCTACAGGAAAATCTGAATAAATAGGCGAATAAGCAAAAATGCAGATATTTTATTTGCACTGGTCCATTCACTGTGAGATTTGTGTGCAAAAATGGTGTAAAAACATGAAAACTGGGTATACAAAAGGTATTTAATGGCAGCGAAGAAGTCGTGCAGTTTTTAACCAAGCCGCATGGAGATATACAGAGCTTTTCCATAGATTGTCCCTTTGATTACAACACAACATTCGGTATTGTGAAGTCCTAGAGTTCCTACCACAAAATATGTCTTGATACCTCTAAGAAAACATTACAGGCTAGTTAGATCATAAAAAAGGTCACATAACTGCTGCACAATTACTTGCAGTTTGCTATCTCTATGTTCTAACCACTAAGTACAACACTATCAGCTGAAAAGCCATTTTTCCTCCCAGTGTTATCAGCACTGTATACCCTGCCCGCCTTCAGCTTTACTAGAAACAGAACTACAACAGGGTGATTCAGGATGAGATAATTGGCTAGGAAAAAAAACAAACAGCAAACAAAACACAAAAACACAAAGCTTTGGTTTATCTGCTTATAGATAAGAAGGGGAACATTCGTGTTCCAAAAGCTGTCAGAGACTCGGCAGCTTTCTAAATGGTGTGGCTCAACATAGCATCAGATAACATGACGGTATGTTATCGTTAATGTGATAAATTATGCTATGAAGCACTGTTTGAGCATGTCATGGTTATGGTCAGTATGTCTAGAACATACAACTACAAGGATAATGAACAAAGGCACAGTGTCCCTGACATGAAGCACCAAAAGCTGCTTAAAGTGCTAATTGCGCCCCCTTATGGAGAAAGTTTAGCCTGATAAACATGAGTGAGTTACAGTGAGTTATAATAACTGTCTAAAGAGACAGACAGACAGACAGACAGACAGACAGGCAACAACAACAACAACAACAACAACATATAAACAATCACTAAATACACCAAAAACCACCACCAAGACAACAAATAACCACAAACACAAATGGCAACTACAACAATCACTGCAAGCAATATCCAAAAAACCCCCAAAACAAAACCATCAACAAATAACAGTAAACAAATGACAATATCTACAACAAACAAGACAAAAACCACAAACAACCAAACCGTCACCAACAAACAACAACTTCTGCAAAAAACAACTACCACCAACAAATAACAAAAGACAAACAACCAACAACACATAATATCCAAAACAATATCCACCACCCAACAACCCACATCAGGCCACTGTAAATAATGTCCTTAATTACTTGCCTGGTTAAATTAAAGTTTAAACAAATAAAATAAAAACAAAGAACAAAAACCTACATTTACCAACAAATGACCCCAACACACAATAACTAATGACAACCAACACCAACAAACACCAACAACCAACACACAACAAGCAACAACAATTTAGTTATTGGACTGGAGGTCATTCCGTTATCTTATTTTATATATATCTCACATCACGTGTTGTGAAAATAAGTACTGCAATGTTTTTGCCACATCATACAGAGTTAATTCAAGACACAATGTGTGCAACTGTGTCAGACTATCAGCTACCAAGAAGCAGAGCATCAACGCTGCACTGTAACGATGACGTGAATAACAGCACATTAAAGGTTTGGAGCTCAATTAGGGGCCTGAAATGACCGCCAGAGCGGTGAAAGCAAACTGCCAACTCCATTCATCCCCCCTTTTCTCACATGGTAGCAGGATAAAATGCAACTTCACCATCAACGGCATTCCATCATGACTAGTGCAAATAATTGCACAAATATAGTACCCAACCCCTGTCGTAAATTTAGCCTGAGGTTTGTTCTTATGACCGAAATGGCTTTTTCGATGAGCAACAGCAGCCTTCACCACAAACGCCCCAGTCAGCAGCTCACAGAACAGAACACTGCACACAGAGAGATTATATCACAGCCCTCTGCATCTGAGTGAAGACGCGAGCACAACGGAGCTACAGAGTCTTCTGACCTGCTGACACTGTCACCACTGTCATTACTTAAATAATACACGGTTTCTTCTTTCCTGCACGCTGAGGGGGTGGGGGAATGATCCATTCTCAGATGCACTGCGGTTCTCTCTTAAAAGATTCTTAACTGATGCACAAAATCAGACTTCTTGTTCAGCTTTTGCAGAACTCTTAAAATGTAAGTAAATAAACACATTTTAAGGCACATCTTAAAAGTTGAAAAAGTGCTGTAAATAAATAGGAAAACATGCAATATATCAAAAATACAGGATAAACACAAAGAAAAATAACCCAAAATGAAGTGAAGAGGTGAAATCTAGAATATTATACATATTTTACAATAAGTAAATGACATACAAATATCATTTTAGATTTCAAAATGCTAATGTAAAAATTGAGGACCAAATAATACTGATAAAGAGGTGCTTTACATCTAAAAATACATATAGACCAATTATAGACATCAAAACACAGGGTAAACACAAACAAAAACAATCTAAAATGAAGCGAACAGCTGAAATCTAGGATACAAATTTTAAAATATGTAAACGAAATACAAATATTAGTAGAACATCAAAACTAATGTAAAAATTTGGCAACAGGGACCAAATGTTTGACAAAAAGGGGTGCTTCACATCTAAAAAGATATTTAGACAAATTACAGACATCAAAACACAGGGTAAACACAAACAAAAATAACCTCAAATGAAGTGAAGAGCTGAAATCTAGAATATAATACAAATTTTACAAGTAAATTAAATACAAATATTAGTAGAACTTCAAAACTATCATGTAAAATTTGGCAACAGGGACCAAATGTTTCTGATAAAAAGGAGTGTTTCACATCTAAAAAGACTATGTCCAATTATAGACATCAAAACATGGGATAAACACAAACAAAAACAACCTAAAATTAAGTGAACAGCTGAAATCTAGGATACAAATTTTGAAATATGTAAACAAAATACAAATATTAGTAGAACTTCAAAACTCCAATATAAAAATTGGCAACAGGGACCAAATGTTTCTGATAAAAAGGGGTGCTTGACATCTAAAAAGACATATAGAGCAATTATAGACATGTAAACAACAGCTAATGTCAAAAACAAAAAAAACATGACAGACTACAGTAACTGTATATACTACATGGTGACAGTTGTCCGGATGGACGGTCAGCCCATTATATTATTTATCTTATCTGTATGCTGTTTTTACCTTGTTAGTTTGGTCATACTGGTCTTACTAAGCACATATAATTTAAAAGAAAACTCCATCAAAATGTTTACATTCATAAAAAAGCTAGTTACTGATATAGGCAGTGACAGCAGAGCCATTCGGAAATTTCAATAATACGTTACCATTCAGTCCCCAGAAGAAAAACTGAAACCGATGGTGGATCTGATAAGGTCGGGCATAATCTCTCAGATCACTGCATGTTTAATTCTCAATAACTGTGCCGCGTTCACTTTTAATCTGCGAGAGATTTTGCGACATTAACTGTTGATCTTTATTACTGTTCTGTACACAAACTTAATAGAGCCTATAGGCCTTTTATTCCGCTATGAAACCTTCATGCCTCATTAGTCACCACAAAGCATTTTCTAACTTTTTACAAGCAAGAAGCACAGAGATCAGAACATTCTGACCACCTCTTGTTTCTACGCTCATTGTCCATTTTATCAGCTATTTGGGTGGTGGATCATTCTCAGCACTGCAGTAACACTGACGTGGTGGTGGTGTGTCAGTGTGTGTTGTGCTGGTCTGA